CCCCCCCCCCCTTAGTTTTACAGCTAAGGAAACAGAGACACAGAATAGCTAAATGAGCTGGCCTATGTCTTCTCACTCCGAATCCTGCCATTTTTCCTGGAACCGGCCTCAGAGATCACTCGAATGTAAGGAAACTAAGGTCCAGAGAGTGTAAACAGCCTGACCAAAGCAGCAGTGCTAGTTAAGGGCAGAGGCCGAAATTGAAGGCCTGCCTCAGCCCACACAAACAGAATGAGGAACTGTCAAGCTGGGAGCATCCTGAATGGGGGTAGAAGGTGGGCTTTCATTCCCCTTCTGTGTCAATTCCAGAACCTGGACAGAGAAGCAACCTTAAAACAAAAGCAAGGCTCCTTTCCAGCCCTCTTCACGCCACCTCTCCCTGCACGGAGCAGCCCCCACCCCACCCCCTTCAGTCCCAAGGGTCTTGTAACTTTAACAAACCACAGCAACGAACACATGCATTACCTCACCACAGTCTGGCTTATTTCCTAGCAGCAATTGTCCAAAGCTTGCTCCATTTCCCCCCTTCTGTTGGCTGTGCACCCTTTGCCCATTCCTCCCTGCTGAAATCACAAAGCTCTGACCCCAGTGGGCCTGCAGGAGCCTCCGCCTCCTTCCCAAAGTACTTACCATTAGAAAGAGGCCCCTGGTGCTGAACAGTGTGTATCCACTGGCCCCTCTGTATACATTCTAAAAGCATGCATGTGTGTGTGCTTAGGGGGAAAATCCTGGGAGAATCTCAAGACACAACTGGTGGCCATTAACACTGGGGAGAGGAGTTAGAGGGTGGAAGAAGGGAGGATTCTACTTTCCATTTTGTTTCTTTTATGTTCAACGTGAATTTTCCAACCAAGATCCATGGATTACATTTATTTATTCATGCCAACGAGGATAGTCTGGGCCAGAAAATTACAAGCCATTTTCTTCTCATTCTTAATCTGTACCACAAACAGAAACCCCGAGAAGTATTAATTTTTCATTAATAAAGTAAGCACCTGCAATGTACCACAGTCACTGAAAATGCAACAACTGAAATGATACAAAGACTACGAATCATTCACCTAAACGAGATGGACCCAGGGAAGGGTAAAGGAAGGAGAGGCCCCAGGAGCGGAGTCCCCACCATCCTAAATACATGTATCGCTCCCATTTTGTACCTCAGCTGGGGTCTACTCCTATCTGTCATTTGAGTCAAATGTGTTGGCTTTATGCCCTCCTCCGACCAACAGCTTGTTTAGGGCAAGGACTGTCTTACTCTTCTTTGAGTCTCTCAGAGCTTGATGCATGCAAAGTAGAAAGTGAATAAACATTTATTAAATATAATGTAAGGAGGTCTCCAAGAGGGTGGGAGGGACGTGGGTTGTCTCCAACTAGACAGGACACAAGCAGGCTGGACCTGCTCCCACTTAACACTTGTGCTCAGAACCCCTCACAGATTCCTCTCTTTTGCTCTGTAAAGCTCATGGTAACATGTTTACTAAGACCTTCCCTGCTCTGGACACACCTGACTCTCTGCCCCACTCCCAAGACAAATCCTGTGCCCCAGCAGTCAAACTGGTCCATTCACCACTCCCAGAGCACACCTTGGGGCTCCCTGCCTCAGGCCCTTGCTCATGCCTTTCCCAATCTCTGCCACTGAAAACCCAGCTCACACGGCCTACTCCCTAAAGACTCACCTACTGTTGCCCTGAAGGCTGGGCTTCCTTCCTCTTCCAAGTCTCCAGGTCCTTCTCTCCTACTGCAGCATAAAACCCTGCCTTCCCCCGTGGCTATTACATTGCTAGGAAATGCTTTCTTTAGAAAGAGAGAGGGAGAAACACAAAGGTTTAGTTCAAGTCAGAGGTAGAATTAGGTTAAAGGTTGAGTTTAGGATTAGAATTAGAAGTGGGTTAATTCTGGTTAATTCAAACTGGGTTAGTCGATTCCTAATCCCACCCACCAGGCGGCGCCCGCAGTCTCATTCCGGTCCAGACGCCTCCGGTTTTTGAAGTTTATTACCTGTCTAACAAGTTTCCTTCCTGCTCTACCGTCCCTTTAAGAAGGTGATCCAGGTGAGGCCCGGCTCCGCCCCCGGTGCCGGCCCCGCCCCCCGCCCCCGCCCGGCCCTCCCAGCTCGCCCAGTCCTCGC